ATCTCTTTTTCAAGGGAGACCTGCAGACAGTGAACATCTCAGGTCACAGGCTCCTCCAACAGTGCAACACAATAAAACAAATAATAGTGCAAGTAAATAAAATAAAGTATAGAAATCCTCAGTTGACGCCAACCACTGAAACACACATCTGCTTTTAAAGTAGTCTGAACAATCTAATTCCCTTCTATGGTGGTCGTCCTCTGATCTAAAAACAAACAGTATATGTTCACTTTGTGGTAATACTCTGCTCTTGCCCTGCAGTTCTTAGTAGACTGTAGAGAACATTTTATATGGTTATTGTTTTTTCACAATGTTTGATGATGCATCTATAACATTTCACAAACATTTCAAAGTGAGTTAATATGTCATAAGAACATACAGCACCTTTTCTTTTGAAATATATTCAATGTGGACGGCAAGCTTGTGTAAAATGATTCAACCTCTTTTCAGTCCCTTGGTGCCGCTTTTCTGTTTTCTCTCCTCAGTTTCTCTCCGTAAACACGAGTGTGTAGAAGCCCCAGCCTGCAGTGTGTAAACATACCCACATCCATCCGCTAGATGTGTTGCATACTACTCTTGGCATTAGAAACATTTAGATTTGTTTACATTTGGATGAGATGAAATTAATATTTAAGTATGAACCAACTGACTCGTTGTCAGGAGAATTTCAACAGAAGCTTGCACACACACACACACACACACACACACACACACACACACACACACACACACACACACACACACACACACACACACACACACACACACACACACACACACACACACACACACACACACACACACACACACACACACACACACACACCACAGAGTCAGTCTGGGAAAACAAGCTGCGCACAGCCGGCAGAAACAAAAATAGACGATCAGAAACCCTCAACATCATTTCAGTGCGGGACTTATTTTAGTATCAACCTATTGCGCTTTTTAGAATGTTAATTGACTCTCCAGTAAACATTTAACTAATTCAAAAGTTACACTTCCACTTTTGCAAGCGAGAGTTTGAATGCATTGAAAAGTTTTTTTTTGATTCCCCACTCCTCGTCTGTCGAGAGGGCTTGAGAAAGCAGGGAAAAAGATAAAAGAAAAAGAATGGGTTTCATAGAGCCATAGTCATTAAAATAATCTGAAAATAGCAACTCGCTATCATCTGTTCTCATAGCACGGGTCAGGAGCTCTGACACCTCCAAAATTCCTCCTGTCAGGGTAGGGGGCCATTTGTATTCTCTCTCATTAGGCAATTTGACTAATGACCTGCCGTGGCTGCAGAGCTACTGAGGGACCCGGAGCCTCGCACCCTCTCTCTTGCAGCAGCCTGAACACACACCCTCTATTGGAATGGCACAGATGGCATGCCCGGGCGACAAAATAAACTACAATATGTCTCCGAGATGCTGTCAGGCCTGGGCACTATTTCTCATGTCAGAGAGGGGCTAAGGGCTGTGAGTGGGCAGAGGGGGTCCTCCTCCAGCTCTCTGTTCATCTACTCACCATTATCTGCTGAGGTGACAGAGAGCAGGGTCTGCAACTAGAATAGCATTTCCATGGTCTACATAAAGAATCCGCCTCAAATTGAGAGTCACGCCGACAGGAAAGGTATGGCAATGTCTAGCCTGGCTACACAAAGAGAGGAGACAACATCCAATTGTTTGGAATATAAAATGCAGCCGGTTCCAGGTAGAGCTTAAACCAGCGGCTTTACTTATTATCTCTTATTATTGTATCTTACTGGACAATAGGAATCAGCTAAACATAATAGAGGCTCATTCCCCTGGCCGTGGCTTTCTCACTTATTTCAGGTGCGAGTCAGATTCAGCCTGGTAATCAAAGTAGACAGAGATCAATGCTATTCTTCTGGATTAGTGAAGTGTAAAATAAAAGTCCATCAACATTCCTAAAGTGTTACTCTTGAGTTCAGGTCAAATGGGGTACGCTTGATCACCCGTGCATATTTTCAATCAGTCGTCAGTGTCTGGATCGTGTGTGTGTGTGTGTGTGTGTGTGTGTGTGTGTGTGTGTGTGTGTGTGTGTGTGTGTGTGTGTGTGTGTGTGTGTGTGTGTGTGTGTGTGTGTGTGTGTGTGTGTGTGTGTGTGTGTGTGTGTGTGTGTGTGTGTGTGTGTGTGTGTGTGTGTGTGTGTGTGTGTGTGTGTGTGTGTGTGTGTGTGTGTGTGTGTGTGTGTGTGTGTGTGTGTGTGTGTGTGTGGCCATGTCTGGTAGAAACCCTGGAAATGCAATGTATGGCGCTGCTGAAGTCCTGGGTGACAGTGTATCCAACAATGGAAGAGTGAGGGATTAGTGCTCAGCCCAGCGTACGAGGGAGCCCTTCCCGCCCTGAAACAGCCATTCATCTGTGCCCAGGGGCTGGAGATGACAATGCAGCCATTGCTCATCGCACCTGACGGAGCCATTAATAAGGCGATGATCCACACGAGGCCCGTGCTGACTCCGTTCTTTACACTACAATCACTCAAGCCACAGGGTCCTCCTTACTTAACGCCACCTCTGCGCTCGCCGCCGCCGCCACCACCATCATCATCATCATGATAGTCATCGTACCAAAATTCCTGCCAGATGTTTTCATATTCTCTGCGCTCACATACTCCAAACCACCCAATTCCCTACACTGCAATACAGTCATGAGTTAATGGACTGTAGCCTGGCCATTTGAGCGGCTCGAACATGCTTCATAGTGGGATTCCTGGTCAGCAGATTGGATTTACATAATTTTTGCCCTTTGCACCTCCGGATTTCACCGTGGTATCCATTTCTTACCACCAAGTCATCACCTGCGCCTCTCCATTTATCTGGATGTAAGATAGCCTCTCTAGTATAGATGGTGGTGGAATACAAAGTGAGATCTGGTTTTAAATGTAATCCTTGAGCAATAAAGAAACTCTGTGGCCTTCAGCTCTGCATTCATCTGTCCGCGCCACGCAGATCCATCAGCGGCTACAATCTCGACTTCCCATTGCTGACTATTGATTTAAATGTATTCTCCCTGCCTGCCTCTGCCTGGCTGTGGTGCTCACAGCGACACGGTAGTGCGTGTTTGTTCACTTGTTGTTATGACCTTAAACAAGTCATTGGACCCACCTTGGTTTGCTTTCTGCTTTAGATGGCCATGTATCCAAAGGCTTTACAGGGATGTAGTTGTCAAGGCTGGGGCATTGAACAGCCTTTCGTGGGTGGAAAAGGAAGCTAAACATTTCACTACTAGCCATTTTTAGCCATGCTAGTAGCTATAGGGATGACAATGTCTGTCGGTCGGTCGGTCGGTCGGTTGGTCCACCTCTTCGACCCAGACTGAATCTTTTCAACAGCCTTTTATGGATTGCCATTAACTGTCTTACAGACATCAATTGTTCCAAGTCGATTAATAGTAATGATTTTGGTGATTCCCTTCGCCTCGGGTTCCACCATGATTTTGATATTTCAGTTTTTATGTGAAATATCTTATTTACTATTTGATGGATTGCCTTTGAATTTGGTACAAGCTCTCTTGCCCCCCTCTGGATGAATTGTGATAACTTTGATGATCCCTTGTTTGTCATGTAGCGCCATCAGCAGGTCAACATTTACATTGGTACAATACTTGGTATTAGGCATGTCCTTTCTTGGGGCAAATTATCAAATACTGCCAACCTAAAGTGACATGGTAAACATGGCTATATCATTTAACCTGCTTAACATGTTAGCATTGTTTTATTGACATTTTAATTAGCTCAAAGCACTGCTTTGTCTAAGTATAGCCTGCTAGAGCGTGCCTGTAGACTCCTGTTATGACTACATCTGTGGGAGATGAGTGGAAGCCAAGAAACTAGACAAGCGTTCCTGTGGTCATGAGGGTGAGGGTCATGCTTTGATTACAAAGATCACATTGTACTACACTTGTGTGGAAAGTGCCAAACCATGGATCTGTGTAATAACCAAGAAAGGAAAGCAAGTCACATAAGTGTCAACGTGAGGGATATTTTAGAATGTCCTACTTTGGAATATTGCTGTGAACAGGAAAGGCCAAGAGGAGTGTCGGCTCCAAAACGATGACTCATGAACAGCTTCGGCTTACATTTATGAGTTCCTTTTCCCGTGCCAGCGGCCTGATGGCCTGTGGGTAAAAGAACATTAGTTGGAAGCTTGGCCTCTTGATAGTTGGGGCTCGTGTTGAAGCCAACGGCAGGAAGTTTTGTGCCTCCAGATTTGGGAGTTTTATAATGAAGCCAAGCAGCTGCAGTTTTCCCTTCAGTCTGGAAACACGAGGCTTTGTGTCCCTTGTCACCATGTGTTAATTTGGGCCCTAATGTATTTTATAAACAAAGGGCTGCTCTCTAGCCTGACAGTCGTGACACCTTGATTCCAGTGCAGGATGCATGCAGTACGGGGTTACACCATTAATAATCTACTGGCAGCCATCACACCATTTTAACCACGATCATTATGATAAAGGGCATACACTTAATTACAGGCCTGCTTAATTATAGCTCTGTTGAAGCTCGTTTGTTTGGTCAAATGCTAATTATACCACCACGCTCTTGGCAAGTCCTCATTTCAATCCACTTTTTGCCCGCTGAACAGTGTGGCTTATTTTCATGCAAATTTGATATCTGGTGAATGTTTTGTCTCTCTTCTTTCCACTTTTCTGTGCCTTGGGTGAGTGTGTCTTTGTTTCCGCGGTGAACATCTCTCAGACAAGATGGAATCAGGAATAATCAAGAGTAATTAAAGTGGAGGAGGGTTGGGAAAGGGCTGGGTTGGAGGAGAGAGCGGAGGTGCTCAAATACAGCACAGAATTAAAAAGAAAAGCCTTTCATCTTGTCTCTGTAGACGGAGGGAGGGGAGGTGTCGGGGGGGCTGGGGATGTTCATAGCTTTGCCTTTTTATAAACCTGTGCTTAGTTTTGTGGAATTACTAAGGAACAAGAATAGGGAGTAATAAATATATATTTTATGTCAACCTTAAACTTTGTTTTCTTATGTTTTTGCAGCTCTGGACGACGTGCCCTTTGTCATCGCTGAAAAGTTTTGTGACAATCCCAAAGAGGTACAAATTATTTGAGGAAACGATTGCATTATTCAAATAATATGAGAGGGGTCATGAAAGTCAGTCTGCAACTACTTGTTCTGCAACCTGTTGTGTATTATGGTCATGATATGTGCTCCTTGCTTCCTGTATACAGCCCTTAATCCTTTCCTGTTCCTGGTCCTTTCCTCTCCTTCCCTTTTCCTTCCTTTCCGCTCCTTCGCTTCAAATTCCTCTCTTTCCCTTTACTTTCTCTTGTTCTTCTTCTTTTTCCTTTCCTTTCCTTTCCTCTCCTTTGCTCTCCTTCCTTTCCTCTCTGTTCCTCCAGACTGAGTGATGAATGTGTGCAGTCAGGCAGAGCTGGCTCAATGCAGTCCATTTGGCTGGCTGGCGGCGGTTGTCACTATAGCCCCGTTTGTATTGACACCGAGAGGGAGAGGATTAAAGATTTTAAGCATGCTTACTTAGCCATGAGCCTAACCGCCATGTTTCTTGTGTGTGTTTTTTTTTCTTCTTCTTCTTCCTCTTCCTCTCCCTGCTTTGGATTTCAGATGCAGCAAGTCAATTTAATGGGCATTACCATCAAATCCCTGGCAGAGATCGAGGAGGAAGTGAGTAGAGGCTGCAACGCTCGGCTGCCACTGACGCCGCTGGCCCAGAATGCAAAGCAAACGGTCTTGGGGTTGTAATTAAGTGTCTGAGACAGTGAGGCCCTGTTGGCTCCACTAAGCCCCAATTGAATAAAAGCATGGCCAGGCGAGGCAGCCATTCTCTCCTAAAAGCTTCGTCTCCTGTTCCAAAAACACTTGACTTTTATTCCCCAATTCTTCTCTCAAACAGCTCAATCTAGCACCTCGCAGAGCGCTGTAGGTCTTAGGGAGTCAGATTTTTGCATGTTTCACTTTTCAAGTTTCCAATCGGCTTCATTTTCAGTAGCGAAAAAGTTCATGCAGAGCAAATAAAAGCTCCACAAAGTACTCCCCATTTCTGATGAAACACTGTAGCCTGCAGGCATCCGTAGGAAGAAAATCTGTGTGCAGCCTGTGTGTTCGTGAGAGCAGGAGAAGGAAAGGGAGTGTGTGCGTGCGTGCATGTGTGTGTGTGCTTTAAAGAGAGTGACAACCCCCCCTTCTCTCTCATTAGCACGGTATCTTGGTATCAGAACTGCCAGGAAGTGACAGACCACTGTAAAAGAACAGGTGCTGTTGGGTTTGAGATGTGTTACAGAGCAAACACTCCCTCATCAAACCGGGTGTCTGTTCTGCACTCTGCCTCTGTCTTCTGTCACATACTATCCAAATCACACAGAGTCGCCATCTTGTCATATGGTCATCTGAATGAAGCTCATTGTCAGCGAAGGTATTAATGGCGTGTACGTGTTTGAGTGTGTTTTCCAGGGTGGGAGACAGGCTGGCTGCTCATATATGCTCTTGTCTTTTCTTTTTTTTTTTTCTCCTTCTTCCTCTCCTCTCCTTCTCAGGGAGTGTGATTAGCAGGAGGACACATGGTGAGCTGAGCTGGGGAAGGGAAGGGAAGGGGCATGAGAAATCATTAATTACAGCCGCGCTGGAGCTGATGAAGTAAATGTGAGATAGTGTAACACACAGGATTTAGTGAAGTGGACGACAGCACAAGATTAATGGTGGGGCCAGGCTGATGAGGATGAAGTCACAGCTTAGCTTGATAATTAGTTTCCAAGTGGAAGCATCCCTCACCATTGTGTTATTCTTACTTCTCTTCCCTTGTTATTATCCCTCGATGATATCTGCAGAACAAGAGGGGGAATATAGTCGGTGAGATTGTTGCAAACACATTGGACAGCAGAGGTGTTTCTTTTAGAAAGTGATGCGTATTTTATTTATTTCTGTTCTTTGTCTAGTTTTGCTTGTTTTTCTACATCAGTTGTACACTGTAAAAATAGTATCCACGCTTCTCTCCATCATCAAGGCTTCTGTAGAAGTAGAGACACATTTTTTGACATAAAAACCTCTATATAGAATATCAGTTCAATCTGATCAATCAGTACCCTCATTTCTGAATATTGTGGAGCGTTTTCTTCTTCTTCTTCTTCTGTTGTCCAGAAGAGGTCACTGTCCACTAAACTGTGGAGCTCTTTTCCCCCTCTTTAGTAACCGGAGGCATTTTCAGCAAAGAACCTAATTGCCTCTTTCTAAACCCATTAAAAACATATAGATTCATGAAAGAGATGTACTTTCAAGAATTATACATATGCACATGTAATTGAGGAAAACTGTTGTAATCACAGCCCCAGTTGCAGATAAGACCATTTCCTAACAGGCATCACTTAAGCCATGTCTCGGATGATGTTGGTTCCAGCAATTAGGCATTCTTTTCATTTCCCAAATGACTCACAAAACTTGCGGATATTATAATTGCTTTTAGCCACGCATATCTAATTTGTGTCTTTTTAAGTGTTAATTAGTACGCGATTTAAAGTGACATCTTTATGTAGTTTGCTCTGCTGAAAAATGTTGTTGGCGGCGGCTCGCTAATGATTTTCCGAGGGAGCATGCTAGGGTGGAAAGGAAGTGTGTGTGTGTGCACACATGACAAGATTTTCATTAGCACCTATGTATGATGGGCCTTCAGTGTTTGTAGGGAGTGTGTACAGTATGTGTGTTTCTGTGCATGCTTGTGTGAATGTATGGAAAGGGCAGTGGTGTACAGGGCTGTGTGAGAGGTGTGAGTGGGAGAGCTCCAAATAGAGGTGGAATTAATGAAGACAACATGTCACATATTTTTGGCAGTGGAGCAGGGACAGGAAATGAAGCTGGGCTCGTCTGGGTGACTGCCGCCCATGTTCTTGTGTGTCACTGTCCTGTCAGCCTGTGTATAAAACTGGCAGACATTGATACATGCTCTCCCTGATAACACCCCATTCCCCCATCCATCATCAGCACACACACACATACACGTAAATTATTTATTTACCGTGCCAGATGTTGAGACAGAATTTTTGTGTTGTGGGGGGAAACATTTCTGCTCAACTAAAGGTCTTGTGATACGTGACAGGCTGCTGCGTAACTTGCAGCTTCCGCTAAAGTATATGAGGATCAGGACAATGGTATTGTGATTGTGAGAGCCCGGTCCGAGCCTCTGTGGCTCCAAGGCTTCTGGTCGAGATTTAGAAACGTATTTCAGTGATCATACAGCATCACCTAGTGCTATGCTGCAGTAATACAACTGTCTAACTTGGTGAAGTGCGCCCTACTTTGTTTCACAAAACCTCACTGTTCAGAAAGTGGAACTACACCCACATCAAAATCATTAATGTGACATGTTATAAAGAGTTTGATAAATATGTAATCAAACATTAGACTGTTAGTTATTGTAGATCATTATATTTCCCCAGTCACTTGCATAATAAATTGGTATTTCATTCAATCATTTGAATTCATAAAATAGATTTTGATAATATATAAGATACAAGTCTAAGTACTTTTTGGAACTGCTAATAATGTTGGGCAATCACCAATACTGCTTTCTCAATGATACTGATTCTAATACCTTAACTCAGGTTATCTCACAATATTAAATACCAATCCAATTCCATTGCTCTCATTTTCCCAAATGTAACATCTCTGTTGTCGTCACTTTGTAAAACTCAAGAATATTTCCAATGTGATGTAACTTGAGGCCAGCAATTGCTTTGGTTCCAAAGTGAATTCAGCTGAAGGCAAAGCACTGCATTTTTGTAATGGCAATGAACACATTCTAATTATTATTGCAGATCTGTCACACTGGCCTCTTTCCTATAGGTCTTTCTTGCCTAAAGCAATTGTGCGATATCTTTGAATAATATCAACACCATTTTTTATATTTGGGTTAATGACAAAATATACTTCCTGCAACAAAGTTTAAAATGTCTACTCAGTAAATTATCATTTTAATAAATAGAAGTTAAATAATGACGTATAGAAACAGTGAAAAAACAAACATTATACCCTTTTCTGCTTGTAATGCCACATACAGTAAGTTGAGCATTATAGTTTGAAGCCCTTTTGCTTATCAAAGAGTAATGCCCATGCTTCGCCAGAGGGGGGCAGTGTTTGTTAGTTTTTTTCTCAATGTGAATTCTGGACGACCCTCTCACGATCACTCTGCTGTCGGGGTAATGTTTGGCCTATAAGAGATTCGTATTTAATCAATACATGTTTAAGCTATAGTTCAACATAATATCACTGTAGAACATTCAGAGAGTTTTTTAAATGTTTGTGCTCAGTTTACTTTTGTAAACATATATATACTTCATTTATTTGGTATTAAGATGGTGCAGGTAAATTGTGTTTTATGCTGTTTTTTCCACATGTTGTATTAATCGTTTATTTTTTCTTCTTCTCATGCAGTTTTACTACAACTTCAGCACAGAGCGGAGCATCGCTGTGTGACCTTCCACGCTGCGGTCTCACCTTGCCAGACTGACACACAACGACTGAAACACTACTGACTGAAAGGATCATGTGAATACTTGTAAAATAATTTAGAAAAAAAACAACTATATTATGTAATTTAAGAGAAAAAGGTATTTTTACCTTAATGGATTTTATTTAAATGATTTAGTACTAAATGTATTTTTTATAATGTACAACTGTGCACAATACATTTGAGAAGATTTTGTTATTTATCTTGAAATAGATTTTTTTTTCTAAATGTATGTTTTGTCGCTCGAATACATAAGCGTCTGGCCTAAAGTAAACCAAGCTAATAAATGTCCTTGAGATGAATTCGTAAAAGTCTGTTAGCTGTGACTAATTTTGTTCGTAAAACAGGACCGTGCTGAGTCGCAGTCATGCAGGACGGAAAGAGCGGCCTCATCCCACGCAAACAGGTCTCTGATGTTCATTTCCAGCAGAGGCATCTCTCCATCACAAAGTCCTTCATGAGCAGCGTGCGGCACCAACGAGCAGAGCTTTGAGACGCAGGAGCCTTTCCCCCCGACACACGCCCACATCAGAAGTGACTGCTCTCCTGAGTCAGGTCTTTAAGAGTAGAACAGATCAGCTCTGTGAACACGTTATTAGTGACTATTATATTTGTTATTTCTATGTACACCTGTATAGAGAATTGTTTTGAAGGAACAGAAGAAAAAGTGGAAGTTGTTTTTCACTACTTTAAAATGCGCAACCCTTAACTTACTAATTATCCAACATTTCATGCATATATTTCTTTAATTAGGTGTTTTTTTTCTTCTTTAACAAACTAAACAACACTTTGCTGCCAGATCCAGAAGCAGAGTTTACACTTGGATACCAGAACATCACTTTCTTCTCACTCCAGCTCACATGTGTCATTTGCAACTAATTAAACTGTCAGAATCTATTTGCACATTTTTGCAGGTGTAATTAGTATTAGAAACTCATTAATGGATTAATGTCCTCGTTGTTAATTACGCTCTCCTCCTGCTAAGTTTGTGAACTTATGGATTCTGCTAACAATGCAGGTATTTGTTTTCCTCCTGACCAACATTCCTAATGACTTTTGATATTCACAGGTGTTTAATGAAGCGTAGAGCAGATGACAAGCCTCCAGGAGCGCTCGCGTTAACTCCTCTGTTCTGCCGCTGAAATCAGAGCGACGGTCTGAGGAATCCTCTGCAGAGGGAACAGCTTTCACGCTCCTTCATGAAGGTGACACTCATGTCAGTGATGCCCTAGAGCACAGTGACAGCCTCCGACAGCCCTCCCCCCGCTGCGCATAAAGTGCATATATACAGTACGCCATATGTATCCAGATACACTCACACAGGCTGCACAAGCAAAATTGCATTTTTCACCTTTGCTCCAGAAAAACTTTGCAAAAACTAAAAATATCACTATTTTACTAGCTCTTAAATCCCTTTTACAATTCTTTAGATTATAGTTTAATATCTTCAAGTGTTAAGACTGGGTGAATTCATAGCATATAGTATATAATATCCTTTCAGGGGATGTGTTAAGTCGAAACAATATTTAGAAAAGCTGCAAAACTGTATCATGAAGGATGAGACAATATACTATTGTTTTTTTATGATTAAAAAATCCCATGAAAAGTCCAAAACTAACAATGGAGGAATCCTAACACCAAATATTGTCTAGCCATAGCCTGATAGACGGTAGCTTATTTCTCTGTGTGAGCTCCGAAAAGCTCACACAGAGGAATAAGCTCACCAACAAGAGTGAGCTTTTGTTGGTCCATTTCCCCTAACGGGGAAGTCCATTTCCCCTAACGTTGTCGTGCTGCTGTAAATGCTCACCAGCACATCAAATCAAATGTTGATAAAAGGTCCCCACAAATAAATGACTTATTCGTGTTTGAGTAATGTTTCAAAATAACCAAAAGAAAGAATATATTCTTGGTCCTTTTTAAAAGATGTACTTATTCAGTAGGAACAAGTGGAGTGCTACTGACAAGTGTGGGTTGAAACTTATTTAGATACGGACAACCACTTTGTTGATTTTGGTCTTTTCATGGGAAGTGTTGACAACTACAAAAATATAGAATGTCTCCTGCTTTAACCTGAACATTTCTCTGCAGAACCTACTCGTAACTTTAGTATTGTGTTAGCAGCGTTGTATTGCTGCTCTCAGCAGGTAGAGTCTGATGTTAGTGCTGCAGGTCAGATGTTTACATAAAGCTAATCACCGGCTCTGCGTTCATGCTAAGAGAGGCAGTGCAGCCGAAGTCTCCAGATGGGCACGGAGCTTTGTGAACCACAACTCCCTCATGAGCCCTGTCCAGCATCACCATGAAAAAGCTGCCTCACATGGTTTCACTTTCACTCCACTTTACGATATGGAAAATATTAATGATTTTCAGAGACTACATTTTAAAATCAAAATGGAAACAACCTCTTTTTTGTCTGTAAACTATGCCGCAGTTTAGAGGCTAGAGGAGTAGTTGAATGCGGTTCTATGTCTCTCAGCGTGACGCATGTCGACTGTTTAAAGCATCTTTTAAACTCCCTTGCTATCTCCAGCCTATCAGGCTCTTTAGGATCTCCAGTACTGCGTTGCTCAACAAAGTCGAGCTGAACTGCAGCGCAACACATCAAAGCCCCACCCTCTGTGAGTCGGCCAGATGTCCCGTGGTCATTTTTAAACTCACACCCCGGCACATGACATGGAGCAGTGTGTAAGCATGTAGACAGAGGTGGATGGGCCGCTTGGAAATTGGAAAAGGAAGCCTGTATTTATGAGGTGGTTTGAGGTGCTGTGTTAAGACAGGCTTAGCCTGCCACTCTCCCTCTGACAGCCCCGTTTCCCCCTGAGCAGGGGTGACCAGAGAGAGAGAGGTGAAGGAGTGAAGGCAGGAAACCTGTCAAACAGACCAGACCTGGACCCGTGGTGAACAGACTCTCAGGCAGGTGATGCAGCAAATCACATTGACAGAAGATGTAAAGGCTAATGTTCACATTATTCCTATTTTCATAACAAGAAAAAACAGGAAACACAATGTGATTCCTTCAGCCAAGTGCATGCTGGGACAGGGTAAACCTTCCATGACCTTAAAGAGGAAAGGTTTTGTAAGAAAAATCAATATTGAAAGAAACAGAGACACAGGCAGCGAAACACGTACTCTGCCAGTTACCTCCTACAGTCTGTTGTGTCTTGTTCTACGCTGACATCATCACATCAGAGTGAGAGGTTGGACGTGTGGTCTTCTCGGAACCCGCCACCTTGACAACCCCCTGGGCAGCGCTCCAAGGAGAGCCTCACATCAAATCTGTCTTTCTGTACCACCGCTCGAGGTAAGATGAGTGATCTCCCTGAGCAGGGATCCCCTCTCCTCCCCCACACAGCGGCTCTCCTCCCCTCTCTCCCTCCGCCATGGCGGCCTGCACATGTGAGTCAAATTATTGTAATTGAGCAAGGATGGAGTCGGGTGTGAGGTGATCTCTCTCTTCATCCCCTCCCTCCCTTCCCCTCTCTTTCTCTCTCAGATATTCCTGCACATGTTGTGAAATGACCAGCAAGCATCTCTTTTTTTTTTCTTCCCCTGTAACACAGAAATCAATTAACTCCTTTCAAGTCAGATCAAAGGCCCAATACACCGTCCAGGTCTCTCCACAACCTGCGGGACAATTAACTCTCCCTTTGGACAGGCTGGGCAGATGAAGGGAGGCTGCTGCCACTGTTCACATACGTGTGAAGTAGTCGTAAACAAACGGGAAGTGATTGGGCATAATTACATCTAGCATCCCCCTAATTTACCAGTTAGCTGTGCATTTATTCAACAGGATGAAAGGTTTGGAATTCATCTGATGGGGACCTCATGACAACAGGAAAATGGTCTTTCACTTCTGAATATGTTTTAGAACAGTGGTTCTCAACTGGTGGGTCGCGACCCAAAAGTGGGTTGCGGACCCGTTTGGAGTGGGTCGCGGATGTGTGAGTGAAGAAAAAAAAAAGCGTTAGAAAATCGGGCCTTCAAAATAAAAGTTTGACTTTTTCCCCCCAAAAAAAAAATTCAAACTTTTATTTTGAAGGTCCGATTTTTTTAACGCTGTGCATGCAGTCGGCGTTGGAATGGAAGTACCGGAGACCATAAACGGTTTTGAAAACTTCTGTCACGTAGTGATCATCTTCTCAATAAAATATCTTTGCTGATGTTTTTTCGAGTCTTCTGGCCAATCAGAATCAAGATTGTTGCCGGAAGTCCCCACGGAGAATAACTTTGTGGTAGAACTCTTCTTTATACATCCATGGGTACAACTTCAGATACAAATTAACACATAATGAAATATGACCCCCGGTTTGATGATTGACAGGTCACAGAACAATGGGAGCTATCTACCCTTACCCACAATTTAAAGTAAGTCACACAGACTCTCTCCTCTTTGCTCTTCTCTCTGTGAGGAGCAGCAAGTTCAGCTTCAGAACAAAGTGAAAAACAAACAATGAATGGCATAAAATATTATTAATATGTCGGGTAGTAATAGATTTATTTATTTTCTTCTCAGTGTACCAGAATGCATAGTTTGTTAGTATTTCTAAAAATCTCCTGGGGGAGAATCCCCCCAGACCCCCTGCTGGGGTTGGGTTTTCAGCATGTGTGCCTTTTTATACAGTTCAGCTTTGATTCCATCATCTCATTAAACCTTTTTTAAAAGCATACTTTAGTTCTGTGAAGGGATATATGCACTGTACTTCACTTTTATTAATATTGTATGCTGAAAAGCGTATATATTACAGTGTGGTGACACGTTATTGGACATAATTCACCTTGCTTATTGTGTTGCCACACGGACCCTTTAGTGGGGAACACCTGTAGCTTTAGCTGCCATTCCTGCTAGCTCATCAGGCAGAGCAGTGCATGTGTTAACTTCTCTGAAAGTAATGGATAATAAAGATTGGAACTCCATTCTTAATACACCGCCTCCGACTCTCTTTTCACGGCACTACACTGGTGACCCTGACGTTTCCGAGAAAGTTTCCGGAAAATTAACGAACATGGCTGAGCGCGATGTTTTCATAAAGCTGCCGGAATTCTGGGAGTTCATGGCAAATATGAGGCGATTAAGGCCCTTCTCCTTAAGACATTTAGCTTATCTGCTAAGGAGAGGGCCCGCCAGATACTTGACATTCAAGGCCTAGGAGACAGCAAGCCATCCCAGCTAATGGAGAAAATGCTAAATCTGCTAGGGGGGGAAGATCCCCGGATTTTATTCACGGAGATTTTCCTGCGTCACTTGCCTCCCCGGGTACAGACGGCGCTGGCCAACACGCCTGTCACGGAGCCCCGTGCTTTGGCTGAGGAAGCGGATCGTTTTTTCCTGGCTACGCAACAACCCGGGGCAGAGACGTTAGCCGCGACGCTCAGCGGCCCACCGGCAGTCAAGAAAGCGTGGCGGACGCCGGACACGGCTGTGGCTAGCCGGCGTGGAGACGCCGGAGAGTGCGTTTACCACGCACGTTTCGGGACAAGGGCGAAGAGATGCATCGCTCCGTGCAGCTACAAACCCCCGGGAAACGGAGGGGCCGGCGCTCAGTAGTGGCTCTGAGCGTCGGCGGCACGTGCAGGCTCCTCTTCGTCAGCGACAGCGTTTCGGGGAGCCTGTTTCTGTGTGACACGGGCGCTCAACGGAGCGTAGTTCCAGCGTCGAGTGAAGATGTCGCCCGTGGGGGGCACGGACCGCGATTGACGACGGCTAACGGCAGTCCCATTCACACGTACGGCGTGAGGCCTATGTGTTTGTGCATCGGAGGACAGCGTTTCAGCTGGGATTTTGTGACAGCGGACATTTATTTTCCCCTCCTCGGAGCGGATTTTTTGTGTGCTCATGGACTCTTAGTGGACGTTAAGAATAGGCGTTTGGTTGATGCCTTAACGTTTTCTTCCCTCGTGTGCACACTTGGCAGCGCAGCGTACGACGGACGGGCTGTC